CACTGGATGTGCTGCTTCTCTTGTTTCCACAATGTAAAAGTTGACAAGCACAATGCAATCTCCTATTCTCAAAGGAATGTCATGAGCTATCCCTTTAGGTGTTGCATTGGAATCATCAGCTAGACTAATCCTTGATCTAGTCCTGCGCAGGTGCTTAATACCAAGTCTCAAAGCAATTGCCTTGGACATCATGTTAACACAAGCTCCAGAATCACAAAGTATATCCTTAAACATTTCACCTCTAATAGAACAAGAGATGAGAAACTGACCTGCACCTTCGATTTTGTGACGTGTTCGAACAGCTTTACCTCTTCTGGCATGATTGAACAAGTCTTCTATTTAAGGGATCGAGTCCTTGCTCTCACAGAAGTAATGGCCTATCATGAGGTCCTTGCAAGCTCTAGCAAAGGTGATTCCTTCAGGTAAATTTTGAACTACATCATTGAACTCATCAAGCTTTTCTTTGCTGATTTTGTTGGTGTAGTAGCTGCATTCTTCAGATTTGTTAAGGTGGATCGCATAGACAGCTGCTTCTGGTGACATCAGGTATCGAGCTCACATCGGGGTTGAACTTCAATCGGGGGTGAACTTCTGACGGTTTGACTCTGAGCTGAAAATCTGGTCTTCTATCCATTTTGTTAAGCTTTTCCCTAAGTTTCCTGAAAAGAGTCTTGGAACTACAAATACTAGAAAAACATAATAAAAGTACTTGAAAGCAATAAAACATAGAAAAAGTATTTGAAAATGATCCATAAAAGTGGTCAAAATACGGTGTTATCAAAGAACCATATAGAGATATATGTCCTGAAGACATACATGAAGAGGTTCCAGTTAAAGAAGTTTGTCTAGCAGACGAACATGATACTGAAAAGTATGAGATTTCCATTAACTTCGCCCAAAGTGTGACATTATGGGCTAGAAGCCAGATAAATAATACAAATGGAATATTCTCTTTTTCGGTATCCAAAGAAATTGATAATGAAAATGATGATCCAGACCCAAGGTCCATGTCAGAGTGCCAGAAAAGGCCTGACTGGGAGAAATGGTAGATGGCCATGAGAAATGAATTAATCTCCCTGAATAAAAGGAATGTCTTTGGACCTATAGTCATTACACCTGAAGATGTAATGCCAGTCGGGTGCAAATGGGTCTTTGTGAGAAAAAGAAATGAGAAAAACGAGGTCACAAAATATAACGCCCGACTTGTGGCACAAATGTTTTCTCAAAGACCGGGAATTGATTATGAAGATACATATTCCCCGGTCATGGATGCAATCACATTCAGGTACTTAATGAGCCTAACGGCATCTAAAAATCTAGATATGTACCTTATGGATGTTGTGACTGCATATCTATATGGTTCACTTGATAGTGACATATATATATGAAAATCCCAGAGGGAGTAAAGATCCCAGAAGGATCAAAGATGCATGAAGCATCTAAAGACATATATTCGGTCAAATTACAGCGATCACTTTACGGATTAAAACAGTCCGGACGCATGTGGTATAATCGCTTGAGTGAATACTTGTTGAGTAAAGGATACACCAACAACGCGATATGCCCTTGTGTGTTTATTAAGAAATCCTCATCAGGATTTGTGATCATTGCTGTATATGTTAATGACCTGAACACAATCGGAACTCAAAAGGAGATTGATGATGCAAGAACTCACATGAAAGAAGAGTTTGAAATGAAAGATCTTGGAAAGACAAAATTTTGTCTAGGGCTCCAAATTGAGCATTTCCAAGACGGAATATTTGTGCATCAATCAAATTACACCAAAAGGGTGTTAAAATGCTTTAAAATGGATAAAGCAACTTCTTTGAGTACTCCAATGGTCAATAGATCACTTGATATTAACAAGGATCCATTTCAACCTTGTGAAGATAGTGAAAACGTATTAGGTCCTGAAGTACCTTATATGAGCGCTATCGGTGGGCTTATGTATCTTGCAAATTGTACTCGACCAGATATATCCTTTGCTACTAATCTACTTGCAAGATACAGCTCATCACCTACGCGCAGACATTGGAATATGGGATAAAACATATTTTTCGTTATCTCCAATGTACGATTGATCTGGGTTTATTTTATCATAGAAACCCCGAAGTTAGTCTAATTGGTTTTGCAGATGCAGGATATTTATCAGATACGTATAAAGCTCGATCGCAAACTGAATATATTTTCACAATTGGTGGAACGGCGATCTCATGGCGTTCTCAAAAACAGACTTTGGTCGCCATTCTTCAAATTATTCGAAAATCATTGCTCTCCATGAAGCATGTAGATAATGCATATGGCTCCGATCTATGACTCAACATATTCAAGATGCAAGTGGAATAGTCATTGATAAGGAACCGACAAAAGTGTTCAAAGATAATGATGCATGTGTCGCTCAACTCAAGGAAGGTTTCATCAAGAGTGATCGAACAAAACATATTCTTCCAACTCTTACACTCAAGAACTCGAGAAGAATCAGGAAGTGGATATCCAATATGTTCGTTTGAGTGGTAGTGCAGCAGATTTCTTTACAAAAGCGCTTCCCACTACATTATTTAGAAAACATGTCCGTAGTATTGGAATGCGCCAACTACGAGAGCTATGAAGGAAATTTAAATCCATCATTTCCAGAGGGAGATTACGTTGTTGTACTCTTTTTTCCTTATCATGGTTTTTATCTCAATGAGTTTTTCCTTGAAAAGGTTTTTAACAAGACAGTACATAATAAATTATTAGTGATGGATAATTAAAGAGAAGTGTTGGATAATAATTATCCATGTAGGTGGGGTGGTAACAAAATTTGTTGTCCATTTACTTTACCTACCACCTTTCTCCTTCCTTGTAATCATATATATGATTTTATGTGAACTCTCTCCATCATGCTGCCATATCAGCATCTGAATGGAGGACACCTGTCCTTTCAATTAATTAATAAATCATAAATTTTAAAATAAAAATTAAAAATTAAAAACTAATTAATACCACTACTTCTAATTTAACTATTCTATTTAATGTCATATATATTTATGTTCATAACTATTAAGTTACATTAATATTAAGGCTTTCACATTCTTTACAAAAATAAATAAACAACATTTCTAACTTTTTACATTTCTAACTTTTTGGTATTCATCTAAAACTTTTTAATATTTTTTTATACTAACTTGATACTTTTCTTTCGGCTTATCCTCATCATAAACACTTTTTTTGAAGCTTGTTGTATGAAAAAATGTAAAGATGTAGCGTTATCTTCATTCAAAGATTTGGCGGTTTTTATGGGTCAAATATGATATTATTATAGCTGCATTTTATTGTGAAACATAAAGTATGTGGTGGTTCTTGCAGAATCAAGGCAATTGTACATGTCATAAATTTGAGAACATTAAAAATTAGAGGTAATTATATGTTTTCAAGCAATTCAACCAAAAAATCTGACTTTTATCTACGTCTTTTTTACTTATAACATGTTTATGATTTCTAGAATAGTAAAATAATTTTCCTAATTACCATATTTCCAATCCTTAAAAAAAGTTATTTGTTTTACAAAGAATTTATTTTTAAAAAACCTAATACTAAACAATCAAACAAATTATCATATTCTTATAATTTACTATATATATATATATCAACACAAATATATTTTTAAATATTATGTGAAACAAAACCCGCGCATATGCGCAGGTACAAGTTTAGTTATATGTAATGAGAAGTTGTATGAAGAAGAAATCAGTTTTGTGCTCCCTCTCTCTTCTCTCTCATTCTACCAAAACAAAGAATAATACAATATATATATATATATATATTATTTAAATAGACATTTGAAAGAAGAAAAAAATTCAATTTGTAATATTACATGATATACCATTACAAATAACAAAGAATAATAAAAAAAGAAAAAAATATAGTTGTCTTTCAAATCTATTGAAAAAAATATGGAAAGTCTTTCTTTTTCATTATTTAATTTCTGTATTTAGAAATATGGTAGTTTTTTATATTTTTTTTTCAAATAATATCATAAATTAGATTTAATTAAAAAAAAGTGAAAATAAAAATATTTCACAATTAAATAATATAAAAATCAAGACTAAAAGTTCTGATATAAAAAAATGTCAAATAATTTTTTACTATAATTTGTTATATTTACTTGATTATATACAAAAGTAATTTTTTAGTTATTTTTATCAAAAATTTGACTTGAAAAAATTAATTTTTAATTAAAAAAGTTTGTGGTAAAGTGAGAGTTATTAAAACGATGCATATTATAATTAGTTTTATATTTTAATGCAGTACAAATATGTAAAATAAACGGATTAGTACGATATAAACGGATTCTGATTCTAACTTTTTAATATCTACCAAAAAAAATCTCACAATTCAAAATATTAGTTTTTTTTAAAAAGTTATATATTTAATCTATTAAAACTTATAGTTTGTGTTTTAAAACTAAATATATTTTTTGTATTTTTATTAATTTTATATCAAACCTAGGTTTAAAGAATATTATATTTATTGACATATATAGTTAAAGAAGATAAAACTGATTTTTTTTTATAGTTTGTGGACAGATTATAAAATCCAGTTATTAAGCAATGCAAATTAGATTTGATGATTATAATATTATAATATTTTGTGTATTAGCTTCAACAATATATAGTCTAATGCCAACAGGTTAAATAAACAGCTTATTTTGCTTTATCCGTTTATAAAATAATTTTATATACGGATTAACTCATTTTTTACAATTCAAACCAAAAAATAAAAATGACTCTATATACAAATCAACTCATTTTATAACATTCACAAAATAACTATTTTTTTGAAAAGCAATTGTTTATACAAAATTATTATTTTTACAAAATTATTTAACATAATTGAAGATAAAAAATATCTTCCAAACACAGATAATCTTATCTTATAATATATAGAAAAGAAAAGTTTATAAGAAAATAGATATATTCTTGTATTTGTTTTTCTCATAGTGAATCCTTTACATAGGCATGAACACCCTTTCCCCCCATTTGCTCATACCGACGGCTATTAATATCAGAACATCACGCGCCGCCTTGCCGTCCCCTCCATGCTCCTTTTCTCCATCCTTTTTACGTGCCGCCTCACCGTCTGTTCTATGCATCACCTCGTCAGAAGACGCACAGTCAATCGAAAACCAAACTCTAGAGGTCCTAGAATGGCGCGCCCTCTGCAATCAGCTGTCTCCTTTCGCCTCCACATCAATGGGCCTCTCCGCCACCAAAACCGCCGATATTCCGGTGGGAAACTCGCTGGAAGAGAGCAGAAACCTTCTTGACGAGACGGCGGCTGCTTTGGCGGCCATGGAGGTAATGGAATCGCGGCGATTGGGTCTCTCTGAGATCCTTGACTTGTCTGATATCGTAGAGCGTGCTACGGCGGGTCAATATCTTACCGTTAGAGAGCTCTGCGCCGTTCGAAGCACGTTAATGGCGGCTTCATCAGTGTTTGAGAAACTACAAAGAGCAGCTAATAGTGATAAGCGGTATATAATCAGTCTTCTCCTCTGATTTCCATGCTTTGTTGTTATTGAGAGTTTCCTAATTATGTGGACATTGTGTTGGGTTAAGCCAGACATAACCAAAGAGTTTGGTATAGATATCGTTAAGCTTATCTAACTATCTACAAAACTGGCCATGTGAATTTATTCTTCTTGAATTCTTTTAAAGATAACTGTACCGTGTGGCTGTAGTGAATCAGAATTTAAACTATCTCTGTGTAGTTATTTAATGCTGTTTTTGTTGTTTGATCGATAGTATGGGTACAAATAGGTTTTCATATTTTTATCCGAAATTGTATTCATTGTTTGTGAGAAGGTCATGGCTCTAGAATCGTCGGTGAGAATTTGCTGCACTTCCAAATGAATAAAGAATTGTTGTTAGTGAGGGTTTGCTACTTATGTGGACATTGTGTTGGGTTAAGAAGGACATAACCAGAGAGTTTGGTACAGATAGCGTCTCTGTTTAATCTATGGCCATATGAAACTTACACTTCTTGGATTGTTTTATAAGATTATTGTACCGTGTTGGTCTAATGAATCAGAATGTTAGATAGTCTAGGTATGAATATATCTCATATTTTTATCTGAGGTGAAGAGAATGTGTTCATTGTTTGTGAGAAGCTCATGGCTCTGGCTTTTACTCATCTCATCTTGTAGGGTTACCCCACTTGTAGATATACTTGAGGGGTGTGATTTCAAGAATACACTGGTGCAAAAGATTGGTTTTTGTATCGACTGCAACATGTCTACGATTCTTGACAGAGCCAGTGAAGATCTAGAGATCATAAGATCTGAACGGAAGAGAAACATGGAGACTTTGGATTCTCTTCTGAAGGAAGTCTCAATTAGGATATTTCAAGCTGGGGGAATCGACAAGCCCTTGATAACACAGCGCAGGTCAAGGATGTGCGTAGCTGTTAGAGCTACACACAAAAGTTTACTTCCAGGTGGTGTTGTTCTAAGTGTTAGTAGCTCAAGGGTAACATGCTTTATGGAACCGAAAGAGGCAGTAGAGCTTAATAACATGGAAGTGAGGCATGCAAACTCCGAGAAAGCCGAGGAAATGGCGATTTTGAGCATTTTAACATCTGAAGTCTCCACTGGGCAGAGAGGGATATTGCATTTGTTGAATAAAATATTGGAACTTGACATTGCTTTTGCAAGAGCATCACATGCAAAATGGATGAATGGTGTCTATCCCAAATTAACTTCAGAACACTCTAACACACTAAACTTGAATGGAGACTGTAAATCTTTAGCTTTAGACATTGATTCTGCGCAGCATCCGCTACTTCTTGGATCCGTATTAGGTAACCTCAATGGTGGAAACACTTTCCCTGTGCCAATAGACATTAAGGTTGAGAGCAGAAGCAAAGTAGTTATCATCTCGGGTCCAAACACAGGAGGGAAGACCGCTTTATTAAAGACATTGGGATTAATCTCTCTTATGTCGAAGTCAGGGATGTATTTACCTGCTAAGAATTGCCCGAGGTTGCCTTGGTTTGATCTTATTCTGGCTGACATCGGGGATCCCCAGGTATCTTCTTATCTTGATTTTCTTGCAACTAAAACTTTGTTACATATAAATTCATGCTTGTCAACTATTTCTTAAAATCCTTCTTGGTCTCTTGCAAAGCTTCACTGTTCAATATCTATATTAAACAATATTTTTTTTTTGGTAGTCTTTAGAGCAAAGTCTCTCAACCTTCAGCGGCCACATATCAAGGATACGTCAGATACTTGACATTGCTTCAGAAAATTCGCTTGTCCTACTAGACGAAATCTGTAGTGGAACTGATCCATCAGAAGGGGTTGCACTTGCTACTGGTATCCTACAATATATTAAAAACCGTGTCAATGTGGCTGTTGTATCCACACACTATGGTGACTTAAATAGCTTGAAGGATAACGAGACTCAATTCCAAAATGCTGCAATGGAGTTCTCAATGGAAACTTTGCAGCCTACGTTTCGAGTACTATGGGGAAGTACTGGTGAATCAAATGCATTGAGAGTAGCTAAGTCAATTGGTTTCAATGGAAGAATATTAGAGCATGCACATAAATGGACAGAGAAATTAATGCCAGAGAAGGAAGTAGAGCGAAAAGGCTCGCTCTTTCAGTCCCTTATAGAAGAAAGGAATACGCTAAATCTTCAGGCAACCAAGACCGCAGCTTTTCACAGGGACGTAATGAACCTTTACCACGAGGTATCGCGTCTTTTCTCTCTCGTTTTTGCATGTATGGATCATGTTGTTTGATACCCGTGTGGAGGTAATGTCATAATGAGAGAAATGATTCTGCAGATAGAGTGCAGATAACGACACCCTTGTTGTGTGATCAAAATAAGTTTTTTAATCTTGTATAAAGTGCAGGAGATTTGAACATTTAGGTGGTTGAGGTTTACCTTCAATGGTCTCTTTAAAAGAGAAATTGATGGTTATTGCTATTTCTTCTCCAATCTGATTTAAATATCAATCCATAGCTATCTATTTTCAGTGTTAAATGGCATTAACGAATTTTGTTTTGTCGCAGTTCGTGTAATGTTTGTTTCTGTTCCTGATTTTTTCTCCCCTGTGTTATCCTGAAGCTTGAGCACGAGTCGCATGATCTTGAGAAACGTGAGAAGGCTCTTCTGAAGAAAGTTTCTCAAAAGGTACAAGAAGATCTAAACTCTGCTAAGTCAAAGATGCAGAAACTGGTGGCTGAATTCGAAAGTCAATTAGAAATTGCTCAGGCCGATCAATACAATTCTTTAATTCTGAAAACCGAAGAGGCAGTTGCAGAGATTATTAAAGCTTGCTGTCCTAACGATCTTGTATCAACGGGAGAACCGTATAGCGACTACATGCCACAAGCAGGTGAAAAGGTTCTTGTGACTGGACTGGGGGGTAAGTTAGGTACCGTGGTTGAAGAACCTGGAGATGATGACACAGTTCTAGTCCAGCACGGTAAGATAAGGGTACGCATAAAGAGAAAGGACGTAAAGCCCCTTCCTCGTAATAGAACTAGTGAAACACCTAACCGTTCTCTACGTTCAAAGAGACAGGTACACATCACTTTCTGATTCAAGACTTTCCAGGTCCCATTCTTGTAGTATCTATTTAGGAAATCTGTGTCTTATAAGGTGCCTAACGAACACGCCTAGCTTGAGAAAGATTGCAAAACGAAAACGAAGTATAATAGTAATAAAGTTGATGTTGATGTTCAAAAGGAAAAACTTTTGTGTGAAAGTGGTAGTGTGAATCCTCAAAGACTACACTTCGTACTCAATCTGTGTTTTTCAAAAATTCGTGATGTGATAGTAATATGTTGATATGGGCTACAATAACATCAGTTCTTATGGTACTTGCACAGATAAACATGAAAGAGCTAGGCAGTGTGTTACAGATGCAGAGCGAACCAGTGCGGATTCAAACGTCAAAGAACACATTGGATCTAAGAGGAATGCGAGCGGAAGAAGCAATTCACCAGCTAGACATGGCCATCTCGGGAAGAGACTCGGGTTCGATCCTCTTTATCGTTCACGGAATGGGGGCAGGCGTTATAAAGGAGCTTGTGCTTGGGAGGTTAAGCAAGCACACTCGTGTCTCAAGGTATGAGCAGGCAAATCCTATGAACCATGGATGTACAGTTGCTTACATTAAATAACCAATTTCTTAAACACATTCTTCTCTCTAAAATCTTCTTGGAAAATGTGTTGTTATGGTCCAACAGCTAGTTTTCGTTGTGAATTAACGTCCAAGTGTACACGATTTTATCTAAAGTATATGTATTGATGTTGTTCTGAAGAAAAGTCGATTTTCTTTCTTCCATTAACTAACATATTGGTCAATTTGTAAGATCTCAAAAGCAGAGGCTTGATGTCTAATTTCTTAAATTTGAATCCGGATAAGCTTAGAGTAGTGAAATGTTGGTTCAATAGAACCATGTAATTCAGTCTGGTAAAATTCATGTAAACCGAGTCTCTCCTCTTATATAAGAGGTTCTATGTTATTCTTTGTACGTTTAATGGAGATTATAAAGACTTTCCAGAATCTTTTCTCTCTTTTAACAACTTTCTTGTAACACCGTTCTTCTACCATAGTATCAGAGCATTGTGGTAAGCAATAGGAGTCAATTGTACTCATCTTCTTCAAATGAATCTGGCGAAGCAATCTGGAGACTGGTGAACGTTGATGCCAATAATGTAGCTTGAAAAGCTAACCAATCAAGGTTCATTAATTTTGCACAAAGAGAACTTCAAAAAGGGTAGGAATATTGACAAGCGAAAAGTAATTAAGCAAATAGCAAATGATATCTAGACTTATCTGGTTCTCCACAGAATGAAATCTTGAAAACTCCCCCAAATCATAGTTTTTGTGCTTGTGCAAAGACTATCATAAATTGTTAACCATGTGATGTATGCATGGCAAGGATCACAGTTCTTCATTCTTTAGTTCTGTTTATATGAGTTCAACAGCCAACGATACCCTGAATTTTTTTTTTTCCATATACATGATCCTAAATCCTAAAGTACCCTCCTTCCCGTCCCAAAAAGATGAATTATGAAGCAAATATTTCCTTGTCTTCCAAGAAACCCTAATGTATTACGAAAGTTATTTAACTATATATGCAATTAGTTATTTAACTATGTATAGTTAATAATTTACATATTTGTATTTGGTTAATCCTTGCGTATTTAAGGCAAAGCTTTAACACCTAATTGAATAAGAAAACCTTTATACTGAATTCTAGGTTTCTTGACATGGTATCAGAGTTTAACCTAAAATTTTAAGCTTATCGATCCTCTTTTTTCTTATCGAAATCTTTTTTTTACGGAAATCTACTTTTCGATATCTCTGTTTTTAACCCTATCTCTTTGACCTTAGTATTTTTGATCACTTTGTCGAAATACTCTTTTGATTAACGATGACTGAAACTAGTCACGTTGAGGAACGTACTCCTACCTCTACATTGGTATCAACGGCTCGTCCAGAGACAGAACGTTGAAGGATTGACCCTTATGATCTCTCTTCAGGTGATAATCCTTGATCTGTCATCTCCACACCACCACTTCGAGGTCCAAACTATGACGAATGGCCATTAAATCTCCGACATGCTTTGAGGGCGAGAAAGAAATTTGGTCTTGTAGATGGTAGTATTCCTCTACCTGATGAGAATTCCGGTGATCTTGAGGATTGGTGAGCGAATAACGCTATGGTTGTGTCTTGGATCAAGAATATCATTTCTTCAGATCTCAACAGTTCGCTTTCCCACCATGAAATTGTCCATGATTTATGGGTCCATATTCAGTAACGGTTCTCTGTGAAAAATGGCCAGTGAATTCATCGACTTAAAGCAACTCGTAATTGTCAACAGAAGGGACTTGCTGTAGAGGATTACTACGGAAAACTGACTAAAATTTGGACAAGTTTAGCTGGTTTCCAACGAGCTAAAACGGCTGATGAAATTGCACGACAAAGAGAAGAAGACAAACTACATCAGTTCTTGATGGGTTTGGATGAATCCAGCTTTGGTGCAGTGACGTCTTCATTGTTGTCACGGATCCACTTCCCTCTTTTGACGAAGCTTACCAGGTCGTGGCTCAGGATGAGGAATCAAAACGTGAGAGTCGGATGTTGGAGGAGCGAACGATGCTGCATGTTTTGCTGTCCAAACTCAGCCTCGATCGCGTCCACAAGCAGAGCTTCGGGATGCCTCTGCTGTATGCACACTTTGTGGGCGTATGGGACATCTCGCGGCTAATTGCTTCCGGAAAATTGGATATCCGCTATGGTAGAAAGACAGACTCAGTGGGAACCTTCCGCCTTCACAGGATGTTTCCACAAACGTGCCGGATACTCGTATGGTTCCTGCTTCACCACCGGTTTCACGACCTACCGAATCAGCTGACGTGAATCAAGTGACAGTGGCCGGACCTGTTTCTTCTGCCAACTCGGTTATTACTTGTGCTGATCATCTTGGTTTTTCAGGTCTTAACGACCAACAATAGAAAACCTTAGTTACTAAGCTCAACAACCGCAACTCGGGTTCTCATGATTGCCTCTCGGATACGTTTTTTGTTGAATCATGGCTTATTGACACTGGTGCTTCTAATCATATCACTGGTAGTTTTTATTTTCTGATGGACGTTTGTGATATGGCACCAATACACATAAAACTACCTGATGGTCGTTTTACTATTTCTACGAAACGTGGGAAAGTTTCTCTTGGATCTTCACTACAGTTGCTTGATGTGTTCTTTGTGGATGGGTTACAGTGTCAACTCATCTCTCTCTCTCTCTCTCAGCTAACCAGAAATTGTGGTTGTATCTTCCAAATTTCTGATAAACTTTGCATTGTCTAGGATCGCATCACACAAATGCTGATTGGAGTGGTTGAGCAGCTGAATGGTCTCTATGTTTTTTGAGGAATTGGAGCTGTGGCAGCAACACATGTCTTGGAGAAGCAGTCATTAGATGTGTGGCACCAAGGCCTTGGTCATCCGTCCTCGTCGGCAACAAAGATGTTGAATTATCTGATTTTCATAATGATATTGGTTTTAATTTTAAGTCTTGCGATGTTTGTATTCGTGCTAAGCAAACATGTGACTCTTTTCCTTTGAGTAGTAATAAAACTTCTTCGATTTTTGAACTAGTTCATTGTGATTTATGGGGTCCTTACTAGACAACATCATTGTGTGGATCAAGTTACTTCCTTACTATTGCAGATGATTACTCTCGAGCTTTGTGGATCTATTTTTTACCTAACAAGACAGAAACTGCCACTACTCTCTGAACTTTCATCTCTGTGGTTGAACGTCAATTTGAGCGTAACGTAAAAACGATACATAGCGATAATGGCTCCGAATTTCTATCTCTTTCTACCTATTTTCATGAAAAAGGAATCATTAACAAGACATCTTGTGTATGGACTCCCCAGCAGAACGGAAGGGTAGAGCGTAAGCATCGCCATATACTTAATGTTGCTTGTGCTCTTCGTTTCAGGCCAATCTTACAGTTGAGTTTTGGAGTTTCTATGTACTTACATTGGGCTATTTAATCAATAGAACACCTACGGCAGTGCTTAAAGGAAAGTTACCTTTTAATATGCTTTATAGTCGCTTGCCTCCATTTAATCATCTGCGAGTGTTTGGTTGCTTATGTTATGTCTGTAACAAACGTCATGGTGGTGAAAAATTCACAACACTTGGAAACCATTCCATTTTTCTTGGCTATCCTTTTGTTAAAAAGAGTTGAAGGTCTTTAACTTGGACAGTGGGGTTATTTCTACGTCTTGTCATGTCGGTTTTGTTGAAACAGAGTTACCATACACAGCAACAATGGCGGCTAACTCGCCTTCTCCATTGTTAAACTCTGAGTCGTATTTTGTTGTTGATGATGTCTCTTCCACTCCGTCTTTGTCAGCTTCTCCACTGCAGGAACTATCGTTTCTAGCCATGGATCCTATTGTCGATACGACTGGTCCAGCTTATACTTCACCCGATCTTCTTCCCACAAATACTTGATGTGAGTGCAGTGGACAACACCAGTTTTACACTAGACAAGCTGCAAGTGCACAGCAAACGCAGTAGTACTTAGGGATCGAATCCACAGAGATCTGTGTGTTGAGGACTTCTAACTGATTCTAAAAACAATCGTAAACCTAATCTAATAATAAGGGGTTTTGGTTTGTCACTAAATCTAATTATGCAGAGAATTAAAAAGCTGGAAATAAAAATCGGTTAAAAACTATATTTAAAACGGCGCTGGGTTCAAGGTTCATCTTTAGGGTTCATGTTCTAAAACACAAGGAATTTAGGCAAGGATTTTCTATGACTCTGAAACTAGGATAGACACATGTAAGATTAGCCAACTCTCGTCACCCTAATCATCTAATCACTTGTTCATGGCAATTAACTCTCGCTCTCATGCCAGAACAAGATCATGCTTTATAGATCAGAATCCATCTCTGCTTACGTATCCTCGTAGGTAGCTTTTGTCTCGTACGACGGTGACGTCCATAAGATCCAGTTCAGGCAACCCAGATACAACACTCTCGTGGCTTGGATTAAACCTAGGATCGGATTCTGGGTGATCAATCCAGAATTACCGCTTTGAGATTTCGATGAATGGGAGAATCATGTTAAAAATCGAAATCCTTTTCCTAAAAACCTAGATATCATTCGAACATGGGGTCCCTTTGGATTACCCTTTCACCCAACTAGGTGACTACTCAGACATGCCTGAGGTAGACATAATCATCGGTTTAGAACTAAGAAGAAGAAAACTAAAAGAAACAAAGTTGCAGAAAAGCTTCTCTAATTGATGACAGAGTGGCGATGGAGAACTTCAACAAATGCATAAAAATAAAACTAAAACTACAAATGAGTTCTCTCTCAAAGAGAAGAAAGAGCCTCTCTTACAAAAGACATAAAAGTGAGTATTTATACTGTTTCTCCAAGTCTTAGGCGTCTAGGGCTTGTAAAATGGGTGCAGGAAGTGTCTTGGGTCTTAGTTGGGCTCCTGAGGTTCGGACATAGGTCCACCAGGGGTGAAACCTCCTGAGCCGCTGTGGGAAGAAGGCTGGCCGCGGGTGAGAACACTTGTGCTTGACTGGGCTTGTGTTGATCGGCCTTCTGTGCATTGATAATATCTGGAGATATAACCGTTGGATTGCTTTGATTCCAAGTGTGTTAGAAAGCTGGTTGTCTCCTCTATAATGTCTCCGAAATTGGGGATGATCAGACGGTGATCAGGTCTTCATTGGTTGCCAAACTTCTGACGGCCTGAATTTATCCAAAA